AATAATAGTCTAAAGTTTAATCGGGAACCCCCACCAGGTCTTCTCATGGCAGAAAACTGTCATGCAGACTGCCTAGTGATGTCTTTCAATTATCACAGGTACAAGCGCAACAAATTATGTGGCCTCATTCTGACTGCCCATCACTGGCCTCATCACGCAGTGAAAAATTTACCCTTGAAGTCTTTGTTCTAGTGAACTTTGGCAAACGGAAGCAACTCACATAAATTCCTTTAGTCACATAAATGTGTTCATCTATATGTTGCTGCTTTTCTAGACTTTATTTTTGCTAGGGCTCAAACACATGAATCTGCTTGAGCTGTTGAAGACACTTATTAACTGCTTTCCCTGTAAAGGGGGATTCTGAAACAAATCCAGATGCACAATGGTCCCACTTACATGTCTCAAATTATCTCATTTTGACAACATTGGGAAGTTCATGTCTCTATGGCATTCCCTATATGAGCCCCAAAGACCAGCCATATTAAACTAACTCATTTATTATTCAAAAATTACATACTTAAACAAGAAAGGAAGAACAAAGGATTAACCTATTAAGAATTTGCTAAAGGAAATTATACTTTATGTATACTTTAATATTTTATTTTTTTATTTTTGTTTTATGTATATAAGTGCATTGCTTGCACAAGTGTAAGTGCACCTGTGTTGTGCCCTTAGAGGTCAGAAGAGAGCATCAAATCCCATGTAACTGGAGTTACAGATGGTTGTTAGCCATCATGTGGGTACTGGGAATCAAACCTGGGTCCTCTTTAAGAGCAGCCAATACTCTTAGCTACTGAGCTATCACTCCATCCCCTACTTTAAATATTTTTAAAACAAATTATAATTTAAAATTTTTTAATTATCCCTTTAAGTTTCCCCCCTAACACTTGCTGAAAAAGCATCTTAAGAAACAAAAAGTTTTACCAAACGCAATGGTTTTATATAAACTCCCCTAAGGGCCAACTGATGGCTGGACTGCGTTCCTCTTGGTAACTGGAGTGCGGCTCCACAGCTGTGCTTTCTCCCACAGGCCTCTCTGGACCCCAGCACCACTGGTAAAGCTGTACCATGAGCTGGGCAGGAAGACAACCTGGCACCAGAGGGGAAACCCTCTCCTGAACCCCAACTCCATGAAAAGCCATCGACTTTGTGTGTCTTCTTGCAGTGCCGCCCTGCCTGCACCACCTGTTCCAGAGAATTACCCAAGATGACGTCATGACGACTCATGCTGCTTGTCCAGTACATGTACCTGCCCACTGCCAATGACCACCCCCGTAGACATGCTTCTTTGATATCACAAACAACAGAACAGTGAGAATGACTTTTCTAGGAATACCTTCTATATAAGAACATTCACTTTTTATAAAACAAAGAAGGGGGAACCGTGGTAAGGACTTATCTGAGCTTGCTTATAATGCAGAAAAGCTCACTGAGCCATGTGTGCCCATGATCTCAGCATATGACCCTAATCCCTCAGGACACTTCATTTCCCTCAACCCAAGCCCGTGTATGGATGTGTGTATGTAGGTTTTACATATCAAAGTAGCAAAGCACTGAAAAAAGAGTGTTTATCTCATTGCAAACAATGAACACTTGTTCATGATTGTGTGTGAATGCATGTATGGGCACATGTGTGTGCGTGCGTGCATGTTTGCATGTGTGTGCATGCGTGCATGTGTGTGTGTGTGTGTGTGTGTGTGTGTGTGTGTGTTGGTCTAGGTCTAGTGATCAGAAATGGCAAGATTCCTGATAAGGGTGGTTGTGATTTTTACTTCCCCATTTCATGCTGGAGATATCATTTCAATAGAAAATGAGCAAAACAATTGCTGGTTTAGCATAATTGTGAGAGAGACCTGAAGGACTGGGCCCTTAGCAGTTTAAGCACAGTCTTGTCCCTAAATGGAGGCTGAGAGCCAAGCTGTCTTTGTTTGTTTTGTTTCATTATATATATGTGTGTGTGTGTATATATGAGTGTATTTTATTTGTATGAGCTTGCATTTATGTAAATAGGCTGGTGTCATGCAGTGCCTGCAGAGGTCAGAAGAAGGCATCTTTCTCTTTGAACTACTGTTACAGACAGCTGCTAGCTACCATGTGGGTGCTGGAAATTTAACCCGGGTCCTCTGCCATTGCTCTTAACCTCTGAGTGATATCTCCATCCCCCAAGACTCTCTTTTTTTAAATATCACCATAATGTGGTTTAGAAATGCTGCTGCCCTAATGTACCTGCGTTCATACTTCAGACAAATGAAAGCCAAGGTTCTTTCCAAGAAGCAGCTCAGTGGTCTGTAAGGTGTTTGTCCCAAGGTGCTCAAATAGAGGAAAGATCATGGAGGACAGTGCATGGGAGAGAATGCATTGGTTATAACATAACAGGATGCTTCAGTTGTATGCAAGAGAGGCTAGGATAGAAACTGGCTGTGCAATGAAGAAAGAGAAAATCGAATTTGGAAAAAGCTAGCCAGTCTAGTACAGAATCTTCAGTTGATAGTCCTGATGGGGAATAATATTTAATAAAATGTAATTAAGGGAAAGAAATCAAAGTTATGTTCTAAACTTTCAATATGGGAAGTCATGTAGAATGTTGTGTTTACGAGTGTTAGGAATTATTGTAGATTCATGAGGATGACATAGGAGAACAGTGAGAACCTGTAAATGACCTGAATTTTAATGTAGGATTTTAAAAGGTCTTCAGACCTTCACCTGGGGCTATCTAGCTTGTGTTTTGAAAACAGCAAGGGCATGTCAGGACTAGAGGGAGAATCTAGGGATACAGATTTCTGATTTTTCAAAATGTAAATTGAGGGACAATAATGCAATGAGATTGACTTAGGACAGTAAATCATTGAGTTATGAAAAGTTGACTAAGTGTGCAAAGCACCTGCTTTAGTACGAGAAATAGAGACAAAGAGGGTGAAATACTCTTTGCCTTCAAGAAACTCAGAGTTGAGTGAAAACAGTCAAGGGAGTTTGGGATCCGTGTTATATGATGAAAGCTGTAAAGGTGGATTGGATTGGGAGATTAAAAGAACAAACATCCAGCCAATGTCCTGACCAAATGAGTAACGTATTCTGAATATGTCACATAAACGGACCTCACTATTTCTTGGTGATGCCTCTCAAATCTCACATAAAGACAACAAATCATCGTGAGTAGAGAATTTTGTCCACCTCCTATTGTGGATTGACCTTTATCAATTGCTTGTTCTCTGTGAAATACTGTGCTGCTTTATTTATGTTCTATTCCACATTTAACTCTTAAAACAACACTGTCTGACATGGATTACTATTTTCACTAAACCTATAAAATAAATGTAGTCTTTCCAAAAACTGAATAGAAACCTGATATACAGACATTAGTTCCTTTGTTGTGGGAAACATCTGCAATGCGTCCTGTTGTCCTACAGTAGCTCTCTTCGTTCTTCCTGCAGAATAATTGAAAATACCAAATGAGTTGCTTGTTATCTACTAATTAGCAGGAGAGTGGGAGCTTGTGTAGAGGACTTAAATAGACAGCTATTACTATAGAGAAAATTGTGAGACTGTTACCAGAAGTTGGTAATAGTCTGGCACTGAGGCACAGATGAGAACCTGCTGCTGGGATGTACTTAGTTTTTGGCTTATGACAGACAGATAAAGCTAGAGAATTTCTGAAGGAAAACATCTTTTAAGATTTTGTATATGTAGCTGCTGAAAATTTAGAGACAAATTTTTGAATGCCATTGTGTCTAGTGATATCGCAGTAATGTCAATACATTTACTTTCCCAGATACATGAAAACACCACTGAATATTGACACAAACTTTAGGAGGATTGTTTTTTAAACATCTTTTATAACTGTTTTCTACTTTTCAAATTTTCTGCAGTTAAAGATCAGCTAAATTAATTTTGTTCACATCTGTATATTTTGTGATCACAATTTCATAGTTCCCCACGTTTTCTCCTATTGCCGTTTCTCTCTTACCCCTGTTCCCACAAATAAGCAAAAAAACGGCAAATACATCAAAATACATACACAAAAACTTACAATCTTTAAGGAAGATGTCAGAATGTTTATTTTGCATAGTTTATATTTTCAAATATTTTTATAAGGGTACGAGTAATTGATGCAATGGTGAATACTTTATTTTGAAAAAAACAAAATTGAGAAAGTATTGTAATATGATAAACAGGAAATATAATTAAATATATGAAATCAGATAACGAAAGTTACCAACATTTATAGTGTCTTAATAAAAGTCAGCAATAGGGGCAGAAATTACTACTCTAAGATTACCAGATGAAGCTGAGAATAGCTTACATCTTGCTATACAGAGAGAGGCCATGGAAATCCATCATCACTGTGTACAGCATCACGTGGAGGGGGAGAGGCCAGTGCTAACTGCTCCTTGGGCACATGGATCCTCAGGACCCTTTTGACGATACAGCGTCAACCAGGTTTATGTCAAGGTCATTAAAAGAAACACGTGCACCTTTTTCATATTTTGGAAGATATTATACCAATCCATCTTCTAGTACAGAGTATTTCTTCCACAGTCCTTTAGATGTAACAGTGGTCATGGAAGACATGGCCTGCCTCAGCTTATCATGCAACTCTTTTGGAATGTTTATGGGAAAATCTTTTATTCACAAGTTCAACGTTTTCTCTGGCATCCTGAAGCCTGTCACAGGCCATTTGGAATAGAAGTGTATCAATAACAAACTTCTCTTCAGAGTGCTTTCGGCGGATTTTGTCAGCCCTAAGAGGAAAAGACAAACGTTGCCAAGTGAGGTTGTTTTAGATTGCTAAATCCAAATCAAATGGATTGTTATGGTTGAAAATTGAGGTCTTCCAAACAGATATTTAAAATCTAGAAT